GCTGCTAAAACGATTAGAGACCTTTCAATTTCTAATAACAGCCGTATGGTATCTTTCGACGTTGAATCACTCTACACCTCAATCCCACACAATGAAGCTATTCTAGCACTTCGAAAATTTACAGAAACCCATCAAAATCTAGATTTTCCTTTCTCCACAGAGGCTTTGATTGATTTAATTAAACTTTGTTTGGAACACAATTATTTTAGCCACCAAAATAAATTCTACAGACAAATCAAAGGCTTACCGATGGGAAACCCAATCTCATCGGCCTTAGCCAACATTTTCATGGACCAAATTGATCAAGCTGTCACAGAATCAAAGCAACTCAAAATTATTTTTTGGAAAAGGTACATAGATGACATTTTTTGCATAACAGAATCAGATTTTGTAGTAATTTCAAAATTTTTAAATAATTTAAGACCATTTTTAAATTTTACACATGAAATTGAAAATAATAATTCTCTGGCATTTTTAGATCTACAGCTTAAAAGAAAGGTTAATCAAATAGAAACTAGTATTTTTAGAAAACCAACCCACACAGGAAATTATTTGAATTTCAATTCTTTTGGCCCAGTTCATCATAAAATCGCTGTGGTTAAAGCTCTCTCCAAAAGATTAGATACACATTGTTCTTCAAAATTTAATGATATAGTGGAGAGAAATAGAATCTTCAGAGAATTAAAAAACAACAATTACCCTAGCAAATTTGTCGAAAAACATTTTTATAAACCAAAATCTCCACTTTTAAATAACACCCCTGATCAATCAAAAAAACTTTACTGCTCCCTCCCCTACAGCTACGGCTCTGAACGCATCGCCAGAGTCCTAAAGAGATACAACATCATAACTACCTATCAATCATCTTTAAATTTAAAAAAGGCCTTACGCCATCCAGACACTAAACAAATTAACAAAATGGAAAACAAAATCAACGTAATTTACAAAATACCTTGTAACAATTGCCAAGCTAATTATATAGGTGAAACCAGCAAACCACTTAAAGATCGTTTAAATCAACACAAATCAGGACTAAGGAATTACAACCCACTGTCTCTCCTTGTAGATCATGCACTAAAAAACAACCACACTCCGGATTTCGAAAATACAGCTATTTTATACCAGAACATTAAAGAGAAACACTGCCGATTGTTCTTAGAAAGCTGGGCCTCTGCAAAAGACAAAGAAAGCATTAATAGGAAAATTGATTTACCAGACATCTACACACCATTTAGATCTTCTTAATTTTTTTTTGTCTAATTATTTTAATTTCAATTAGTCAATTTTTATTTTTAAATTGACTTATTTTATACTTTTTTAAAGGGAGAGGTGCCGTTTCTTTAAATTACATAACTTTGCTTTATTTAATTTATTTTTTTGCTTTAATGAATTTTTAAATTTTGTTGTAATACCCGCGATTTCTTAAATTATTTTTTTCACACATTAGTTATTACCTGTAATTAATACATACCACTTGTTTAATTATTTTTACATTTATCGCTTTAATACACAAAAGTATTGATACATTAAATATATAACTTATTACATGAAATACTTTAAACTTTTTTAGTTTCCACTTTTTAATCTATTTTTTTCTCATATATTCTTCCTAAATTGCTTTAACTTCCATTTCAATGCATTTTTATAAAATATTTTTTACTTACATTTAAATCGATCTCCATCAATTTTGAAATGAATTTTTAAATACCCACATTTTTTGTTAAACCTTTTTAAAAAGTTCTTACAGTTTATTGTTTAAATCATTTTAAATTCATTTTCAAATGTTTTAATAGATACATATATTTTTACATTATTTTTATGTACTTTTTAAAAACATTTTAAAATATAAAGATAGAACCCATATTTTTCCGTTAATATTTTAATATATTTTACATTTTGATTGCAATTTTTTATAATAATTATTTTTTACATTCACAAATTTCTCCCACCTACTCTGTATTTTAATTGATTTCAACTGTGATATTATAACACTATGCGGCGCTGAGTTTGTGTATACAAAAATGTAATGCCTCGATAAAGGTTGGCGTTCAGCCAGCCGAAATATTGGCAAAATAAATATATTTTTAAATCCAATATATGCCTTTTATTATCTAATAAATTAAATAGAAGCTGTTAGCACGCCCCATCTATATGCTAGAATAATTTAGTGCTAAATTTATTTTTTCTTCACTAATTCTGCTAATGATGCCTCATATTTAATTGTGATGTCCAACAGACTTATTTGTAAATTGTTTGCAGAAGAACATCTATTTGATAAGATACAATTTGGTTTAGAGATTAGAAACACAAGGTAATAAGACTAAATAGTGTGTAAAGTTTCTTATTAAGTACTTTTGTCTGATGATGATGCAAAACATTAGAAACTTTTAGTTGAATGATCAGGAGATGTCTTTTTCTTAATTCTTTTTTATTTTTGTTTTATTTTAAAAAAACTGCCCCTGTTTCTTGCAATATGCGACTCCTGTTTATAATTTTTATATTTATTTTTATAAAATAAATTTATTTATATAAAGCCAGAAATATATAAAGAGAAAATAAGTAACGGCCGTTGGAGCAAGCCTTGTTGTTTTGATGATGCGAGTGGCCAGAAAGTCCCGTATTGCCGCCCTGCGCACATGCGTAGTCAGGTCACCACACTACCCGCCCGTATGTGTAGTGAAGCTTTGTCCCAGTTCGCGCTCGCTGAAGCAAAGTGTGGTTGCCACAAGGGTATCAAGTACCATTCAAATGATCTTAACACAAACTATTAACAACTTTTAGTTACACCTTCAAGAGATGCCTTTTTCTTAATTATTATTATTTTTTTTAAAGCTGCCTCTGTTTCTTGCAATATGCAAGTCCTGTTCAGAATTTAAAGATTCCAATATGTTTTTTTTTTTGCTTATCCCTAGTACACGTGGTACAGGCCATGATAATCATGATGGGTAGAAGTAGGCGACTGCTTTTACTGTAAATGCACTACATGTCTACACACGTGAAAAGCAGTTTGACTTTTGCACTTACAAATGTGCCAGAGCCCCGTTTGGTTACTTGCACTCGCTGGTGGGGTTGGACTTTTGCAAGAATCAGGGGACATTGGAGAATTCCAATATGTAAATTGAGGTGGCAGCAACACACCAAACATGTCAACTGCACTGAATAGCTCCCACATTGGATTGTTACAAGGCCTGCCATCTCATTTATAAAAAGTCTATAAATTATTTCCGCAAGGATCTTTTTCAAGCATTTGCATAGTTATCATAAAGTAATAACGTGCCATCTATATATAATAAATGAAAACATTAAAAAGGACAAATGTTTCTTTTACACATAAAATGAGAGATATACCCACTTGATGGAGAGCAGTTTATTGGTAAAAATGTCATTTTGGTGATGAAAACTGTCCTTTTTTTTTTGCTTATCCCTAGTACATGTGGTACAGGCCATGATAATCATGGTGGGTAGTTAGCGACTGCTTTTTACTGTAAGTGCACCACATGTCTACACATGTGAAAAGCAGTTCGACATTGCACTTACAAATGTGCCAGAGCCCTGTGTGGTTACTTGCACTCGCTGGTGGAGTTGGACTTTTGCAAGAATCGGGGGCCAAAAAAAAAACTGTCCTTTGGTAGAGCTAATCATTCATAGAGATTCTACCATATCAGAGCTTTACAATTTTATTTTTGCCAATATCTCAAACAGGACACCGAATTAGATGCTTTTAATAAAATTCATATTTTTATTGATTTGAAGTATGCACAAAAAACAGAAGCTAAAAGTTATTGGTTGGACATTTCTCTTTTTTCAGAATTTTTATCTTCGGTGAAGACCCCCGAGACACTTTATCCAAACTCCATATTTCTGGGTTATATTATTTTAGCATTACTTTTTTCCCCCTTAATGGGGGAAACTTATTTCCTTCTGTATTCATCACGTAGAATCGTTAGCAGTTATTAAAAATTTTAGTTAAAACGTGAGCTTTCAAGCTATGATGCTCTTCTACTGGCTTAACAATGTCCATTGGAGAAATTCAAACTGTTTGTTCAAAACAAACGTTCACCTTGTTAATTTTTAAAATTAATTTTGGAATATTTCCTTCTGTATCTTTATTGTAACAAGTCAGCTGGCTCAGCTTAACAGTGGTGAATTCTCACAGCAGTTTCTCACAGTTTTATTATCTACCACTCTACTGTTCTGCTTATAGGAATGGGGGAATTATTTGAGGGAATTGATGGACTTCCAATGTTGGATAGTAGAAATTTGCCCTTTATAATGGTTGGAGATTCAATTGTTCATTCAGGGTGAGATGGCAGCACTGATTGCCCTATGGTTGCCAGTTCTCCAACCATTACTTGCATGTAAATAGTTTTCCTTTGTTACTTACATGACTCATTCATTTTATTGATTGCATAATTAATTGTATTTTACCTTGAATATCTCCTCAATTATATAACAATAAATGGTGCTCTAGAAACTTGAATTTTAAACATTCCAACAGTTATGATTAAATATCCTTAAAATTGCCACGTGGAAGTGTTCCTCTGTCACTTGCATGACTGACTTTATTGATTGCATAAATAATTAGAATTGTATTTTACCTTGAATAACTCTTCAATTTTACAACAAATGTGTCATAGATGATGCTCCAAAAGCTTGGATTTTAAACATTCCAACAGTTGTGATTAAATATACTTAAAATTGTACATGGATAGTGTTCCTTTGTCATCTACAGGACTCGTTTACTTTATTGATTGCATAATGAATTGTTATTATATTAACTTGAATAACTTCTCACATTTCCACAAATAGTCATTTATAATATAATACAATATAATGCGGCTTATGATTGTAAAACGACATTTGAAAATTATCCTGCATGTGTTTCTTTTAAACGAAAAATCTAAATTTATTTCAAGGAGAAATAACGACCATTTCAAATCTTAGGGATGAGGTATGAAAGGATGAATTGTGAAGAGTAATGATAAACGTAAAAATAAAAGTGTCTAGAGATGAGAATCGAACCCACAGTGTTCCGCTTACCAGGCAGATGCCATGTCCACTAGGCTATAGTCATAGATGATACTCTAGAAACTTGGATTCTAAACATCCCAACAGTTATGATTAAATATCCTTAAAAATTGTACATGGATAGTGTTGCTTTATCACCTATATGACTCACTTTATTGATTACATAATTGATATATTGAGAGACAGGGTTACATGATTTCCATGCAATTTTTATTTTTTCATACTTTTTGAATATATAGTAAAATTTCTCTCTTGCAAATTTTTGGTTTATAAATGGCAATGTGATAAATTTGGCTTCTTTGTTTTTGCACTTTAGATTTTGAATTAAAGTATTATTCTCATATTTTTGGTTCATGTCTTCTATTATTCTATCTATCAATTTGATGGGAAAATCTTCATTGATCAGTTCTTTTTGGACTTGGAAAAATGTGACCAATGTTATGTAGGACAAACATCCAGAACTTTAAAAGAAAGAATGAAAAACCATGAATATGCTCTGAAATGGGATAAAATTGAAAACTCTGCACTTGTAGAACATAAAAAAATCACAGGGCATAATAATTTTAACCTAAAAGAAACTAGTAAAAGATACTAGATTATGAGAAAAAATATTTTAAGAGACAATTTAAAGAAGCATTTTTCATTCAAAAGAAATGTGCTACAATTAACAGAATGGAAGAAAGAGGAAATATAAATGATATTTATAGATATGCTTTTAATTATATTAAAAAAAAAAGGTTTTTTTTCCACTTTTGATTACATAATTAATTATAATTGTATTAGCTTGAATAAAACTTCTCATTTCCACACAAATAGTCATAGATATTCTCTAAAAAACTTGGATTCAAACAGTACTATATAATGGAGAAAACTATTTCCTTCTGTATTCATCAAGTAGAATTGTTAAAAGTTATTAAAAAAATTAATAAAAATCTTTCAAGCTACACTCTTCTACTAGCTTAACAATATCAAGTGTAGAAATACAAACTGTTTGTTAAACATAAATGTTCACATGCGTAAATTTAAGATAAGCCCTCTCATTTAATAAATTTTATTATTGCAGTAAGTTCTGTAGAGATAAACACAAGGTAATAAGACCAAATCCTAATAAATAGTGTGTGACGTTTCAGTAACAGCATTTTTACCATCTTCAGTTACTGAAACCTTACACACTATTTATTTATTTGGATTTGGTCTTATTACCTTGTGTTTATAATCTATAATACAAATTGTGCTTTTTCATCTATAGAGATATTTGATGATTATTATTAAAAAGAAATACATTGCCAGTAAATTTAATTGTTACAAATTTTATCGATAGATGGCAATATTGAATTTATAAATTCTCAAGATTCCATAGCCTTCCTGCCTTTGGGAAATCTGGTGGCCTAGGGAAATCCACGGCTGAAGGACAAACAGAAATGGATACATGTCATTATCTTTAGACAAATAAGGATAAAAGATTGTCTATATACAGCTGCTCTCAGAGGAGCTGACACCTTTTGGTGAGATTAGTTTCATCAAGTGGGTCAACTTTTTTTTTTTCCAATCAGGTTTTTAGAGTCTCATGTAATCTCAAGCCTCTCTTTCCTCTTCTTCTTTCTTATCTCCACTCAATCATATTAGTGTATCAAGCTGTGACCCTTGATGGTGTCTGTTTGACAATCACCATAACTGGGTGAAGTAGAATGCGTCTGCCTTTGTCATTAAGACTGGGAGCACTACTCAGTGGCAGGCCGACTTAGCTCCAAAAGAAATGGCCACCTCTGACATGAAGAACAGATGCCATGTGCACAGCCGCTCCTAACATGGAGTACAAATGCTGCTCATAGGCTTGGGACCGGCAAAGGTGGAGTTCCTCTCTTTCCTAAAACTTGATCATTTTATTGTCACAGTATAATCTGTGATAGCCTACTCTGTTTATCATCATTCGTCAAGTGATGTCAGCATTTTATTTGTAAATATTTTGTCTAGATATCTTTCAGCTTTTTTAAGATTGAAAATAATTGTAAATACTTTCCTTGTTAAAATAAATTTGTTTTTATCATTATTCATTCTGGTCTCACTTATAACCTTAATATGTAACCATCGAATACTGACATGAAGCTAACATCTCAGGATGGTGCAACAATATATTTTCCCTTTATCATTACTCTTCACAATTCATCCTTTCATACTTCATCCCTAAGGTTAGAAATAATCGTTATTTCTCCTTAAAATAAATTTCGATTTTTCGTTCAAAAGAAACACATGCTGGATAATTTTCAAATGTCGTTCTACAATCATAAGCCACATTATATTGTATTATAAAAGCAACAATATATGCAACAAGATGTTGGGCTAGTTTGTTGTAATAGAGTTTTCCTGGAAGTAGCCACCGAAGGGAAAAAGTTGACCACAGCTTGGGTTGAGTAATGCTGGAGGTTTGCCAACTGTGGCCCATTGTTGGCTGGAAACCTTTTTTTTTCTTTTTACCTTTTTGTCTGATCTGCTTGGAAGGAATGAGAAGGAATAAAGGGATTTTCCCTCTTATTCATCCATCTCTCCCTCCACTTTTTGTTTTAAATAAGTTTGAAAAAAACACACACACACACGATACAGCCTTCTTATTTTCCCTTTTTTTCTGTATGCTTCTCTATTTTAGCCAATATATAAAAGGTCTCAAACCTCAGCCTGCATCTTGAATATCATAATAAAGAGTATACAACTGTCATTGTATTTAATTATATTTAGACCTATCGAATAATTAGACCCAGTCAAACTGCTTTCACATGTGTAGACATGTGGTGCGCTTACTACCCACCATGATTATCATGGCCTGTACCACGTGTACTAGGGATAAGCAAAAAAAAAAATAGACCTATCGACAAGAAAAAAGACCAAATCCAAATAATTTAATATTTTGTGACGTTTCGGTAACAGCATTGTTACCATCTCTCTCTCTCTCATCAGATAAAAGAATTAAAAAAATTATTTTAGTTTTTTATTCTTTTGTCTGATGATGGTAACAATGCTGTTGCCGAAACATCACATACTATTAAATTATTTGGATTAGGTCTTATTTCTTGTTTATTATTTTTTCACATATGCATTATTATATAACAAAAAATATACATAGTCGGTGGACGAGTGGGTAACACCCTCGATTCCCGACAGTCATGAACTGAAAGGATTTAAAAGCACGAATGTTTCTTTTATACATAATACAAACTTCTACTGCCCTTACTGTGATGAAAAATATATTGGGAGGGCTTGGCTCATCAGTGGTGAACCCTCCCAGCGGTTTCGCCAATTTAATCCACCAGACCGCTTCTTAGAACTCTAATACTGTATTGGATGATTCTGCTTATATACGCAGCACTGAAGGATGGAATCTCAGAAATGTTTTTCAAGAAAACTATGGACATAAGCTTATAGGACAGTAGAATTACATTCAAATATTTGCATCGAGCAATGCTCTTCCGCAAACAATAAAGACAAGGCCAGTTGGGCATAAATTAACACAAAGCAATAACACGCCATCTATACATATAAAATGAAAGGATTTAAAAGCACGAATGTTTCTTTTATACATAATACAAACTTATACTGCCCTTACTGCAGTAGAAGTTTGTATTATGTATAAAATAAACATTCATGCTTTTAAATCCTTTCATTTTATATGTATAGATGACACGTTATTGCTTTGTGTTAATCATGAACTGGGATTAAATCCCACGTTAACCTTTTGTTTAATATGTGAATAACCATCACATATTATTCAATGTTTCAATTATCATAAACTAGGTTGTTCTTGTTGAGTGGTACCTAATAAAGTGATTTTGGAAAAATATATATATAAGAAATGGAAGCATTAAAGTACAAATGTTTCTTTTACATATAAAACAAACTTTCCTTACTGCGATGAAAATATAAATGTAAATAGTCTTATAAGCAAAATTTCAACAACTATCTCATTGTATCATTTCATGTTTATAAGAGGAAGAATGGTTCTGTTGGATTTGACCAAGCTGGCTGAATGTGGGTCACCCCCCCTCCCCTGGGAGTGATGGTGGGGCCATCCCTGTCTTACATCACTCTTGTTGTTCTTTGTAATCTTACATAATCTTCCATCTATATATTAGCTCTAAAAAGAAGTATGATAGATTAGATGGGTGAATTGCTGGGAGGGTTCCCCACTTCATCAGACAAGCCCTCCTCCCAATATTTTTTCCATTGACAGCCTCTGATAAGAGACCACTTCTAGAAGAGATTAGGTTAGGTGACTATTAGTGACTACCTGAACTATAACAAAATCATCAGGACCAAGATTATAACACCAAGTTGCTGTTATAAATGTGAGTTATAGTGAGGTTCTACTGTATTAATATCCCTTGTAGACACCTCAATGGACAGTTATTACCACTAAAATTGCTCTCCCATTGAAAATATGTTCGCCTAATAGTTTTATTTCTTATTTTATTTGATAAACATTACATTTTACCTTTATGTTTTGTTATCCCTCAGAGGAAAGTAGTCAGATCTTGGGATAACATCACTTAGTACCAATATTTTATGCCATTATAATATACAAGGACAATGTTGTGATGTTATGACCACTGCTAGAACAAATTGGTAAACTTGACTCTTACAGGTAATAACAAAGTTGCTGTTATAATGAGGTTCCAGTATATATATATACAGTTAAACCTGTCTATAGCACCCCCTCTAAATAGCGCCTTCCTCTCTATAGCATCCGATTTTAAATACGTAGTACGATGCGATTTACATTAAAAGTGACCTGTCTATAGCACCCCCTCTCTATAGCACCCTATTTTGGTGAGTCCCAAGAGGGGGCGTTATAGACAGGTTTAACTAATTAAAAAACCCCAAAAAATTTTTTCATCTTTAATGTTTGAGAGCACTTTAAAAAGGATAGTAAAGTTGCATATTGGTTGTTAATATCATTCACAATTCTGTATATTATCTGTTAGGCTCACAGTATCTGTAGACTATGTACAGTAAACTGATATTGTTGGGCATTGAAGAATCTTTGGGAAGCTTTTTTTCT